TGAGTACAACGCATGCAAATCCTGATCCCAGTAATATATTATCTGGCCGGTCAGACAGACTTTGTGGTGCTGTCACTTGATGTCAATTTTAAAGACATCACACAGAGTGGCTGTAACATTGTATTGACGTCAAATGAAGGAAGGGCCAAGAAAAGTGTATGGTAATCATAATTGACAAGGTCACTAAACTATTCAGGAGTTGCGCCGATTACATTTCTTTTGTTTTTTCTTTGGTACCCTACAATTCTGATCTTTATGGAACAAAGTTGGATAGAACACAAAAAAAAAACAAACATATTTGTTAGTTTGGTAAGAGACACGTCATAGGTTAGACCCTACACTGAACTTTTTGGTCTACGTGCAAAAGGCCATCTATGGGTAGAAGACTAATGGCGCACATCACATCGAACCCTCTAAAACATGACCCATGGTACTGGATAATCATGCTGGTGGGATTCTCTCCTTCTTTCTTTTTTTCTTGCAGAGACAGGAAAGTTGGTTAGGATTTGCGATGATGGATGGAGCTGCCAGAAAACTTATTAGAGGCTGCCGAAGGCTTCAGATTGAGACGGAGATCCATCTTTGAGCAGAACCGCCACCCTTAGGGCACGAGCCAGAGCTGCAGCTAAGAAAGGCCACTTTATGTCCAATCCATCGCATAAAGTTTTTTCAACGACGTGTGCATGCTTGTCATGTAGACACAATTGAAAGGGACAGAATAACTTTGCAAGTCACTGTCCTCTCAATCTCTTTGTCTCGGAGTTCTGCCTGGTGTCCTATAAAAAGCCAGCGCCTTTATTCTCTCTGCGGTAATGCTTGTATCATATCTGAAAGTTGCCCGGTCCTGAGGAAGTTGTAATAGTTGCCGGGAAGCAGCCCCCATCTGGTGTCGGGTTTCACATTAGCAAGTGATGAATCGCTCAAATGAAGGTCGCGAAGGGAGGAGAGGCGGCGAAACGGGAAAAATCTCAAGCTAAATATCGTGGAGCATTATTTGTCTGGGTTGCATGTAAACGCGATCAGGACAGCCGGTCTGATTAGGTGACATTTAATGGCATCAACTCTCGTTTTAATAAGGTGATCAGTGAAAGAGAAGCATTACATTTTTTCTCTCTCTTTTTTTTTGCCTTTTTGTCCTCCATCACTGTGTTCTAATGAACAGGACCAACGCCTGCCTGAAACTCTTAAATGCGACAGCGCTGTCTTTTGCTCTCATTACCGTCCGACTTTCCTTTTGTTTTCCTGCGTGCCATAAGCAGCTTAAGTGCGGATCATGACCCGCCACTCTCTTTGCCAGCTAATGTTGTCACTTAATGAAGCGTCCAGCCATCCATGGCTCAGTCCTTGGCAATGGATGGATGTCTGCTCTGCTAATTTCAAGAAGCAGAGGTGCTGGCCATGACAGATAAGAACGCTGCCCCCTTTTGAGCGTGGGCGTGCACGAGCTAAATCCAACAAAGGATGAATACTGATGGGGAAAAAAAACACATAAAACGCATCGGAGAGTGTGAAATGCCGATTCACAGAAATGCCCATCTGGTATAACTCTATGCTCATTAATAATTGCGTGTAAAATTGGTCAAAAGTATATTTGTCATTTTTACCTTGGTAGTTTGAATTTACATTGAACATTTGATTCAGATCAATCTGGATTTGGATTCTCTTTGCATGCTCCAAGCATTCATTTTATTGGTATGGAAATAAAGATTGAATTAACTGAAGCACGAGAATACTGTACAGTAAGAGCCGTAATCCATGTATATCTTCTAAAAATATGCTTGTAAATGCCGATTTTAATGGCTAAAACCCGCAATATGTGTTAATTTGCATTAATACCCACAGCAAAGCAAGGTGCTAACAGCTAGTTCCTGATCTTTGGTTGTTGCAGGCACAGCCAATCAGTGCCAAGGAAAACCAATAATGAATTGTGCTTCTGCAGCGTTTTCTTTGTACGGAGAGTTTCACGTAGAAAAATGCTATATCTTTCTGAAAATGGCTAACAGAGTCTTTCCATAGTGACGATTTCCACACTGAAGAGCCTTTTTGGCCAACATGACATCACCGGTTCGGCGTATTGCATTCATCAATCTGAGAAATAAATGGATATTTAGCTACTGCACGGCCAATTACGTGACATTTCCAGCAATTTTAACCGATTTCACAAGATCTCATATTTATGCTGTAGAATCACGTCGAGCATTAAACCACGTGAAGCACTAGCGTCATATTTATGTTTACAGGCCTTCCAAAAAATAAAAAATCAGTCTCTCTGACATCATGCTTTAATTGTCGACTCTGTGAACAGACGGGAAGACAAGTCGCTCCATTTTTGAAGAAGAGATAAAAAAAGAAATACTCATGTGTCTGAGATAAGAGGCTTGGCTTTTCGTGGGTTTTTTATTGTTTATCTCTTTGTCTGAGTCTAATAAAGATAAATGCCTCCGGACAAGTCTCGCGAGTGTTTGTGTTGACTGAATTAAAGTGGAAAAGTAGCAACAGTCTGTCTCTGCTAAATTGCCGACTGCCGGCGGGAGAAACTTAATCAGGCCCCCTTTGGCATCCGCCAAGTCAGAGAAACTAATCTTTTTTTTTTTCCTTTTTTTTGAAGATCTGTATGAGTCAAGGCATCCATATCTCCAATTTTCTGCTTAAAGACGTCTTTCAAGTGGAATTTCTTTTACATTTATTAGTACGGGCCACTAATTAAATCTTGAGTCCTTGTAAACGTTGGCGCTCAGCTTAGATGGGAATCGGAAGGGAAAGTTTAAAGCTTAATCGACCTTTAAGAGACCTGCATTAGTAATCACTCACTCATCAGACCCCTCAAACGGCGAGCCTGCGTCACCGCCGCGCTTCGCCGCGCACCTGCTCAGCGCTGAACGGAACCACTTGGCGGCAGCTTTTGTGCGCGCGGCCGAGCCCACTCAGGAGTTGAAACCGGAGCAGTAAACCATGACGTCGGTCCTCTTTTGTCTTCTGCATCTATGCAGATGGAGGGGGGGAGCGATGGGTTCAGGAAAAAAAAACATTTACAAAACTTGAGATTGGAACGAAAGGGGGGAAAAAAATGCTTTCTTTGCTTGCAGGACAAACAAGCTGGTTGTCTTTGTAGCACATGGAGTGGTTTTATTCCAGTGGTGGATTATTACTTGGTGTTTTCTCTCATTCTTTTCGCTCCAGCTCAGGTGGGTGTTACGATTCGCCCTGCCTGCTGGTCAAGTTGGGATTATGGTCGTTCAAACCCAGTTGAGACAGACGTGTCAGGCTTTTCCTGAAGACACAACAGCAGATGCTTCCTGTTTGCTGTCGCAACGCACTCAAAACCGCAAAGTGACGCAATGAGGGCGATGCTTAGTTTCTTTTTAAGTTTTATTTTTGTTCCATGTGACACTATTCCCCACCACCACCACTTCATTCCCTGCAGGAGTCAGTCGTGACAGCAGACATATCTTTGGTTGCAATTTCCACCAGATGATGCTGCGGTCCGGAGCAAACAAATTAAATTTTATGCAAGGATTAAGAGATTTGTGGGATTTGCTGCTCAACTACAAGCCGCGATACAAAACTAGATGATCTCTCTTAATACTGCTTAGTTAGAGGATCTGCCTTTCAATGGGGTTATGGGTGAGTGATGAGTGGGAGGGTTGAGGCTAATCATTCTGCGAATTATTTATGCTGCTGCAACAATGAAAAACTGTCATTAGCAACATCTGCCAGCCCTCAAGCCTTACGACATGATTTAGATTGTTCTTTTCTACATTGCACTGATCTTCCCAGTGTTACCAATAACACCTGCATGCACATACTGAGGTTATAAACTGCTAACTTTCCTGTCGTTCAGTTGCTGAGGGTTAAAGTGCCTTTAGTGAGATCCTGGAAAGAAAAACAAAAATATTTAAAACATTTTTTTTGTTTATATCAGGTTTTCCATCGTTTCCTCCTTCTTCTAATTGCCAATCATGCACTGGAAACAATCTACAGTTCCAACATCCTGATTATAAGTAATTAATAATAACTAAATGGCCTTTATTGTTGTTTAAAATGTGCTACAAAATGTGTTTAAAGTCCTTTCCATACTTCTGAGTAGCAAGACATTAATATAATAAGTATCGCTGCATTAGCATCTGGCAATCACAAATGTATAAAAATCAACCTTTTAATTAATAGGTACTTATTAAATCATTAGGTGGTTCTAAAAAATATAGTTGTACAAAAAAAGAGGTGATTGCGAAAAAGTGATTGTCCCTCATGCTTCCTAGGAATACAACAAAAGCTATTTCTTTTTATTTTCACATGTTTTTTTCTTTTTTTAACTGATCAAAGCAAAGGAGAACTTTTATATGTGTTGATCTTCATAAAGCAGAAACACAACTATAGAAAAATACCCACTTTCCTACTTTAGAGATTATCTTGAAATCTTCTATGGGAGCTGCACTTGTTAGTTTTTGGTAAAAACATAAAATTTTGTTTTAGTATTTTTTTTTTTTTTACTTGGTGATGCGTTTACAGCAGGCATGAATATCAGCTTCATGTCATTTCAATCCTAAATCTGAAAGTGTGTTAGCATTGAACAGGAAGTTAGCCTGTAATTGCGTCACTGTGTTTGTCATAGTGAATACTGTTCATGCAGGCATCATGCCAAATCCATTTTGCTGCTTTTAAGACTTTGAAACTGTACAAAAATTCACAAAGAAAAGGCCAGGCAGCAGAAATTTCCGGCCATCCCGAGGAAAAACGTCATAAACTGTTGCTGCACTCAAGATCGGCTGATCTCAAGATTGATTAGGAGTAATGCGCAGCCTCCTGAGCGTTAAATGAAAGGATGTCGGCATAATTGCGAGCTAATGAGGTTTAAAAAGCGCAGATCGGTGTAGTTGTACTGAACGCATCTCTGTGGTTTCTCTCTTCTCCTCTCTCCCTGTCTGTTGGTCTCCGTCTTCGCTCTGTTGCCATGGCATCTCGGCTCACCTCTCCAATCTGTTTTTGTGTTCCTATTAAAGGCTTCATCACCTGAACCCAAAGCGACAGCAGCAGCAGCAGTAACACCAAAGGAAGCAGCCGAGCCCGAATCACCGGATGAAGTTTTTGGTAAGCACGTTAAAAACACGCCATCGGTGGGAATTTACATGCAGATAAAAAACATACAGAAATAATCCGCCTCAGTGGCACGACTTGGAGTTCTGTGGTTGGTTTTAGAAGAATAGCTTCGACAGGCTTGCGTCAATTTGGCTCATTGAAATTTCAATGGAACTGTTACAATGTCAGATGAGGGAACACTCGAAACATCGTCTCCCGGGCTTCCTGCCATGAGAAGTCAGTAATTAGTTGCACTAGGAGCAGAGGAAGGTTCATTTGCACGCGTGAAAGAGCAGATGTCGTCGATAAGGAATTTCTATTCAAAACAATTTGACATTTTCAAACTCCCGTCTTATACAAGCAATCAGCCCAGTCACCATGGCTGGCGTTACTCGGGTCATGGACTCCCCGCCTGCATCCCGGAGAAAATCGGTTCTAAACTTTCCCCCAAAAGTTGTCAACATTTTCAAATGCGGCATCTTCCGCAACAGGACAAAAGGAGGGAAATAAATAAATGAATTAATTAAATAAATAAATGTTGACACTTGACAGCTGAAGTGTCGCTCTCTCACTCTTCATTAACTACCATGTAAAGAAGTTAAGTTTAGTATATTTTCCTGGAAAATGTTTTCTTTTTGACAGCGTTTTGCTTATTTTTGCTTCCTCTGAATTTATTCTTAAACACATCACCTATGTTAAGTGTTAAGTTATTGGTTGGATGTATTCTTTGACTGGCCTTAATGCATATGATGCTTTTTTCCCCCCACTTTTTCTGTTCTGGTTTTGGTGCTGAAGCTAAAAATGAGTTACTGGGATGTCGTTTAACGTCTTAGAGAGATTTACAGAAACTGGGTTGATGCTCCAATCGTTATCGGAGTTGCCACTAATGTCATTAGAGTTACATCATTTCCTGATATGCAGCCCTATTTGAGTGGGGTAAACTGTCAATCAGGCTTTAAAAAACATCTTTGGCAGCTGATTGCTCTGTGCATTTCTAGAAAAGATAACACTGGAAGGACTGAAGGCTGTTTCTAAGGTAGAGAAAGCTGAAAATTCACCCTGACACAGCATGTATTAGCAGTACCTTCCCTCACCATCTGTATATTTTGATTCTCTTTTTTTTTCTTTTTTCTTTTTTTTTTTTGTCAGGCAGTTATGACGGTTTCCGTTTAATCACACTGACATTAGTCCACATGGAGTGAAGAGCTACTTTATTTTAGTTTTGCAAGCTTGTTCTTCCCAAAGATGAGAAAAAAAAAAACAAAAAAAAACATCTGGCTGTCTGGTGGGACACCAGAATGTGGCCAGTTTAAAGATGATGACAGAGGTTAAACAGGGCCTTTGTAATACTGCAGCTCAGCAGATGAGGGCAGAGTTTGATGAGGCAGAAGGAAGACGTCTGCACTTCGACTTCCAGTCGATGCTTTTTAGAAGCAAAACAGTTTTATGTTTTGAATAAATGTATAAAATTGGGGTAAAAATTACCAGCATGGATTTATTGAAATTTTTTTATTCACACTTTGTTTTTTAAGCTAAATCCTACTGTGCAATTCATACATAAAATAAAAAAAAAAAATAACCTGGGACTTTTTTTTTTTTTTTACCTTTCTCCTAATGATAACATCAATCCCTCAGAGGCTTCCTGTTAGAGCTTGTTAACTCTGATGATGGAGTCTGAGTCTAGACTCTGTTTTCAAACACCACCAAGGGTGAAGGAAATGACTTTCCCCCCCACTTTCATTTATTTTTTTCTTATTTTATTTTTTAGTTCACATGCACAAGTCGGGAACCAAACAGAATTTATGAAATCTCGACGTTATGTCGCAATTGTGTCATCTAACCAAGTTCACCTGAAAGAAGACATGAATTACCTGCAAAGGTCAAGAGCCCGGGAATTAGAGGATCATTCTCACATCCACCATCTTCCTCAGATGAATATTGTCACGACTTTCCGCTCTGATAAAAAGTCAAGTGTTCATCAAACGCACTTGATTAACCGTCGACTTGCCAGCAGAGGGGTTTTGGCTCGTCGCTGTGCTGATTACACAGCGCCAAGAAAGGAGAGACATCAGCAGCGGAGCGCCGTGAACTTCCTGGTGACTCCGCTGACCTCGCTCCAGGGAAATGGTAACGACAGCAAATCACGAGCGGCACGTTTATCTTCCAGCGCGACGGAATTAGAGACCAATTTCTTTCTCCGCTACTGAAATTTAGGGTCCTAAATCTCCCACAGGTTAAGCAATTACAAATACAATAACAGATTATTTACACTGTTAATTGCGTTCCCAACGAAGCCCTTTTAGATTAATAACCAATATGCAGCGGCAGTTAATCTGGCTAATTGGATTGTGTTTATGTGTGTCGCTAAATCACAGCGGCGGCGGCAGAATAAGCGAACACGGCTCTGTGCAAAGCAATGAGTCGTCCCCTCGCCGCCTTGTTGTGCTCAGTCATTATTAGCAGAGGTTCCACAATGCAGCGACTCCGTCTGATCGATCCGCTCCGTCCCCTCCTCCTGCAGTAATTAATGCCCCCGTGTGCCCCTCTGCGGTGAACGGTGGGGGTTTGATCAGCAAGGAACAGACTTAAACAGATTGTTCAAAACTGAGCCAATAGGCGTAAAAAGCATCGTCCGGGTGAAGGCATGGAATGACATCGGCGTGAACGTAATCAAAACGTTCTGATTTATTTTAACCAGGTTTAGTCTTTGGGGTGGTTTTCCCCGTCACAGATGTGCTTCTAGCAGCTTGGGGGAAAAAACCTGAACGGAGTAGGATGGAGTTTTAGTAGGTGGTATCTCCAAAGTCGGCACACAAAAGCGACCGGATTGAAGCTCCTGAACATTTGGCTTTTATAAAGTTCAAGGGACTTTTTAAAATCAAGATTTACCTACTCCTTAACGAACAAACTGATTTTACTGAGCTGGAGTTGGAAAGCAGCTTGTCACTGGCAGCAACATGTTTATTAAGCGCCGTTTTCAAAAGATGTAAGAAATCAAATGTCTCTGGTAGATTTTTTTTTTGTACCTCTCTGAGCGGTAATCAATATATCAGGAGCAGTGGTGATGTCACACTGTGTGAGAGCGCAATCTGGTAAGCAGGTTTTAAGCATTAAAAACTTTTCTTAGTATTACAGAACTGGGGTCGGGTATAAACAGTTGACTGGTTGGATGCACTCTTGACTGACCTCAGTCGGCGTTTATGCTAAATGTTTGACAGAGCCAGCAACAGTCAATGCTGAGAGCAAAGCCAAACCGAAGTCAAATTTCTTGAGTCGCAACGTCAGCCTCATTGTGATTCTTTTGTTTGTTCTTACGTCTCGTTCATTTGGATCGGTTAACAGTTTTGTTTCATTATGTCAACTCCAGTCACAGGGAGCCATTACCACCAGCCCGGTGGTAATCCTAGCTCCCTGTTCGAGTTCTTTGCGCCGGCTTGTCATCAGAAGGAATCGTAACTCACATCAGCAAATCCAGCCTTTCTGGACATCTTGACGGCACACTTCCTGTTTGCCGTGCTCTTTCAGCGAGGGACAAAACGCCTCCTTCTGCCGGGTGACTGCTAAAAGCCCATTATGAATCCATTACCTTGCGCGGGCCGCAACAGGCGCAGCGCCACAAACGCAGACCTCTGCCCCATCATCGCTGGCCGCAGTGGGACGAGATCGATCAGACGGAGAAACAAACCTCGGATGGACAGAAAACAGCGGAGGAGACTTTGGCTTGGTTGTCTCGCCAAGTGTCGCACTGGCACAAAAAAACATTTTACGCCCAGAGCACATTTCCTGGGCATATCTCTGTGGAGGATGGTGTGAGTTGTTGGCAGGCATGGACATATGCAGCCTGTTCATGTTTGAGTCATACTACTCAACACACTGATATAAAGGTAACCAAGAAAACAGCTTATCTTAAGATTTTCACAATTCCACCAATACTGCTAACCTGGTTGCGGTATTTCTTTTCTAACATAACACCACTGAGATATTTCTGTTGTTTTTTTTAATAGAGCTGCGTTCGTTTCATCCGACAGAGGGCTTCCACCATTCGGTTTGCGTTCGTCAAACGTGACTTTCCGTTTGTTTTGCAAATACTTTTTCCTTTTGCCATTTTAGCCCCGTTGGCGCACAACCAAATGGTTTCTTGTCCCAGACTTCTCACCCGGGTACGTCTGCTTGACTGGTTTTAATAGCACTCTCCTTTCCTACCCTCTCAAGCCCTTTGCTTGATTGGTCTGCAGTGCGTCATACTCCATTTTAGTTGGTGGATAAAAGTCTGTTAGATATTTGTTTTTTTCAGAAAATGTTGAAAACTGTGCATTTTGTTTGTCTGTCCAATCCAATAAAGTACATTCACGATTGTGTTTTTGAAAAAGTGTGTCTAAGATTGGAAGACACGTTTCGCTCTCATGGATTTATGCTATAAATCCATAACACTTGTAAAGATTTTGAGAACTCCAAACCTTTTAAAAATCACATTTTCTCCATCACTTACGAGATTTGTATTCGGTACAGAGCTTTCAGCTGTTGAGTATTATGTGTGACATAATAGCTTCCCCCCCCCGAAGCCTTTATCTTTGAGAGGAGTTACTTTGCAGTTAATTTCATTTTTATCTTTAACCTTTTTTTCATACACCTGGGTACAAAAGGGGGAAAAAAAAGAAAAAAAAAGTCGACAATAGCTCTTATTCAAAGGGAAGCACACGAACATAAACATGTTCAAGAAAAGATGTATATTCAAGAAGATTCTATGTTCTCATCTCTGAGTCCAGAACGCCGTTTCTAAAACCCGTTTTCTTGCTTCAAACCACAGTGTTTTTCTCAAATTGTACATGTTTCAAACCCATTACTGGATTGGCTTCATTTTACCTGGCGTCCATTTAAAGTTGCTCTTTCAAACAAACTGTTAAAAAAACAAAATGTATTGAGTGGAAGACTTGAGTCTGTGTTTTTCTTTGAACCACACTAGACTAAAGATTGGATACTCAAAATGCTCATCTTTGTAATGTTTCCAAAAT